TCTCTTATACACATCTAGATGTGTATAAGAGACAGCTGTGTGTGTGTGTGTGTGTGTGTGTGTGATGTGATAGAGGGTCGCCGCGGAGCGTCTAGCTGGTTGAGGCGAGTTGTGGGATTTTTTACTGTGTCTTTTTTTTTTTTTTTTTTTTTTTTGTTTGGCTTGTTATGCCATATTGGGACAATTGTAGGTGTTAGAACTCCCCGTGGACGCACGTCATGATCCGATTGACGTTATAGATGCTCCAGGATGTCACTGCGGTTTCAGGCTGGCATTGAGCGTGAGGGAGGGGGGAAAAAAAACTATATCGAATCGTTCTTTTTTTTTCTTTTTTTAATTTTCCCAGAGCGTTGGGGAGGATTGCCGACTGGGGAGTTGGAAGGAGGGTGGACTTTGTCTGATCTGATGAAGTAGAGCTGCCTTTCGTCTTTCCTATACCACATTGCGCTGATGTGGGGCTCTGTCTGGTCCTTCGAAGGGGGCAGAGGGAGAGGGCCGGGGGGGGGGTTGAGGAGGGAGGGGAATAAAGATATGGGACTCTGTATGTTCCTGCTGGGATCGATATGGGACCCTGTCTGTTGCCGTCGCGAAATAGTCTCATTTTGGGCCTCGCTGCGCTACTCTCCAGATGCACAAACGACAAAAAAGATGGCAATGTATCTTTCCATGTTCTAGCGGTGGATTCAGTCTCATTTTGGCACATTTGGTGAGTAGTGCAGCGAGGCGCTTTCTCTGTTTGTCTGCCGGGACCGATAGCGGGTTCTGTCTGTTCCTGTCGGGACCGATATTAGGCTCTGCCGGAAACAGTGTGGGGCTGTCTTTTCCCCTCTGAAGGGGGGAATAAACTTCAATTTAAACGAACAGTACTTGGGCAAGCTATCCTCCGCGAAAACAAAGAGTAGAACCGTTTTCTAGTCGGATGAATTTGGGCGCTCCTGTAGCGGCCTGTACGTTTTTTTTCTCAATATCGTGGCCTGTATGCGGGCACGACTTTAAAATAGGAAGTACTGTCGGGATCTAAGGAGCGGCAACGAGCGGCAACGAGCGGCAACGAGCGGCAAACGAGCGGCAAACGAGGGGAAGGCATTCTAGGATGCTTATCAAGGGTGATGGGAGAGAATCTAGTATAAGGGCATATATTCTCACGAGGGCTTTTCTAAATGTATCAGGCTGCATTTACGCCCAGACCCAGATGTATCTGACTGCAATTGCCTCCACAGCTTTAGCAAAAGACCTTAGTGTGACTATGCCCTTATTGTAGCGGTGCGTCGAGAGGTTACACTAGGGAGAGCTAAGGTTCTCCCCGCCCCCTGAGATGCCAAAAGAGGAAACTTTTTTTTTTTTTTAACTTGAAAAAAAGAGGAAACTTTAAACTGTTGTTTTCGCTATGTTTGAAGCAATGAATTAATTGCCTTTAGAACTTGGCCAATATGGATATTATTTCGAGTTATCCATAAATATGTTTGTTTTTTTTTTTTTTTTTTTGTGTGTGTGTGTGATACCATATATGTGGGACGAAATGTATTTGAAGTATACTTTATTTATTTATATATATAAAATCGAAGTCGATAATACAATGATAAAGGAGTGTTGTCCGCTCTCCATTGGGCGGGATACATAAAATATATGCATATTCTATACATAAAGTAGAGTATAAAATATATATATACGCATATTCTATACATAAAATATATGTAAACGTAAGATCGAAGTCGACAATACAAGGATAAAGGAGTAAAATATATATATACGCATATTCTATACATAAAATATATGTAAACGTAAGATCGAAGTCGACAATACAAGGATAAAGGAGTGTAGTCCACTTCGATCTTACGTTTACATATATTTTATGTATAGAATATGCGTATATATATATTTTACTCCTTTATCCTTGTATTGTCGACTTCGATCTTACGTTTACATATATTTTATGTATAGAATATGCGTATATATATATTTTATACTCTACTTTATGTATAGAATATGCATATATTTTATGTATCCCGCCCAATGGAGAGCGGACAACACTCCTTTATCATTGTATTATCGACTTCGATTTTATATATATAAATAAATAAAGTATACTTCAAATCTCCATTGGGCCGGATTTGCACGGATGTGCTTTATTTATGCATCTTCCTAAGTTTTGCGCATTAATACATTTGTTGAAAATAAGGAACTGGGCAGGGTTGTAGAGATAATTGCAAGGCATTCTGAAAATTAAATGGCGAGAGTCGAACTCCATTTGCTGATGGCAGCACGTGCCGCGGCATTGATGAGCATTGAGCACAGAACCAAAAACCGGGGGAGTTGAAACATTCCCCCCCCCCCCAAAAAAAAAAAAGCGGGGGATTGAGAAGAGTGAGACTGGGGAGAAGGCACAAGGAGCAACTGTCTTTACATTAGTTCATTCTTTTTTTTCTCGTTTTTTCTCTTCCTTTCTGTGCTGTTGTTTCTTCTTTTTTTTTTCGGAAAGTAGCTGGGGTACGAGCCGGGCCGCCAGGGTCATATTGTTTGACCGCGCGGACGGGTGGTGCGAGGACCAGTATAGGGCCGGGCAAAAAAAATAAAAAAATAAAAAATTCAAACAATCTGAAAACCAACTATGTGATGCATAAAAATTAACTGAACAACTTTTGCCTCAGTATATGTACGTTCATTAATATATATGTTATATAAACTTCGACGAAACAGTTTGTCACAGCCCCTCGTTTGTTGTCCTCTTCTCCCTTCTCCCTCTCTCTCTGCCTACGGTTTACCGTCGGCAGCTCTGTATGACGATATATATATCTGCAGAGAGGGAGAAGAGGAGGAAAACAAACGATGGCCTGTGACAAATTGTTTCCTCATATATATATATATATATATATATATATATATATATATATATATGAGTCGGTGAAACTCCGACGAAACAGTTTGTCACAGCCCCTCGTTTGTTGTCCTCTTCTCCCTCTCTGCCTACGGTTTACCGGGCAGTTCTATTTGACGATATATATATATATATATATATATCGCCACAAACAGAACTGCCCGGTAAACCGTAGGCAGAGAGAGAGAAGAGGACAACAAACGAGGGGCTGTGATATATATAAATGATTACACTGTAATAATACATATACATATAAACAGTTTGTCACAGCCCCTCGTTTGTTGTCCTCTTCTCCCTCTCTGCCTACGGTTTACCGGGCAGTTCTATTTGACGATATATATATATATATATATATTATTTGCCGGGCCGGGCAACTTGCTCCGTGCCAAAAAAAAAGATGGTAACTAGGGCGTAGTCACCATGTCAGTTTTTTAAATGCAGTTCAGGCATCCCTCGAATACAACACATCCCCACCTGACCCTAAAGCTGGGTTGTGTACGTTCACAATTGTCCTCAGTTTGACACAGCATTCGCGAAATAGCGACTGACGAACATTTTTTTTCAAACTGAAACGGTGACAGCGCCCGCCCTAAGTTTTCCAAAAAAAGAACTTACTTGCCCGCCCTAGTTTTCCGGGAAAAAAAACTTACTTGCCCTCCCTATCTTTCCAAAAAAAAAACTTGCCCTCCCTATCTTTCCAAAAAAAAAAACTTGCCCTCCCTATCTTTCCAAAAAAAAAAAACTTACTTATTCAGATCAATGCCCGGGGCCAAGTCCCAGTTGAGCCAGTGCAACGTTGAACTAGCTCAATGTGTGCGACCCCACGGGAAGCAACGTTGAACTAGCTCAAAGTGTGTGGCCCCACGCGACGTGTGAGATGCATCGGGGGCTGCACATCCAGCTGTTGTTCTTAGGTGTATAAAATACAAAGACTTCCGTTTTTGTTTTTTGGTTCAAGAAAGGTGCTGAAAAATCCCTCCTGAATACAACACCCCCTACTCTGCCCATCTTCCGATGAACTACATACCCCACTCCAAGTGGGGTATGGGTTCAACAGTGCTTGTGCCATCACGACCTTCTGTGGGAGGACACTCTGACAGCCTTGGGCGACACTCTGACAGAGAGTGTTCATCCTGTGTTTGGCTGTGCAGCCCAAAAATCTTTTCTGCGAATGCACCAAGCCAGGAGTACTGTCTACGTTCATTTCATGTTCTAGTGAGTCCCTGTGTATGCGGAGCCTTTCACTGAGGATTGTTGTATTTTCCATTTTCCTTTTTTTTTTTTTCTTTAAAGAAAGTCGCAGCTTATATTATAAGAGTAATTGAACGAGGCCGGGAATCCCTCGACATCTTAACCCGTCAGCGAAGCTTGTGCTGGAAACCGGGCCCAGCGTCCCATGGTCTGCAACTACAAAGAAAGTGAGCAACTGGAGAAAAACTTCTAGGAATCCAGGATAAAGGGAGCAAAACAG